AATCTATCTCTATCAATCTATCTATCAATCTATCTATCAATCTATCTATCTATCTATCTATCTATCTCTCTATCTCTCTATCTCTCTATCTCTCTATCTCTCTATCTCTCTATCTCTCTATCTCTCTCTCTATCTCTCTATCTCTCTCTCTCTCTCTCTCTCTCTCTCTCTCTCTCTCTCTCTCTCTCTCTCTCTCTCTCTCTCTCTCTCTCTCTCTCTCTCTCTCTCTCTCTCTCTCTCTCTCTCTCTCTCTTCTATATAATATATATATATATATATATATATATATATATATATATATATATATAGTGTGTGTGTGTGTGTGTGTGTGTGTGTGTGTGTGTGTGTGTGTGTGTGTGAATATGTATATATATATATATATATATTTATATATATATATATATAATGTATGTATATATATATTATATATATATATATATATATATATATTATATATATATATATATATATATATATATATATATATATATATATATATATATATATATATATATAATGTATGTATATATATATATATATATATATATATATATATATATATATATTTATATATATATATATATATATGTATATATATTATATATATGTATATATATGTATATAATATTATATATATATATATATGTATATATATTATATATATATGTATATATATATTATATATATATGTATACATATATTATATATATATATGTATATATATATATATATATATATATATATATATATATATATATATAATATATATATATATATATATATATATATATATATATATATATATTATATATATATATATATATATAATATATATATATATATATATATATATATATATATATATATATTATATATATAAGCATTGAATTGGCATTTAGTATGAAAATATTTATTGTATCAAAGTAGTTGTCCTATATTTGGAATTTATTTGAAAACCAATCATGTTTTTCCCCTTGGCCAAATGAAGACAAAGTCAAGCTTATCCATGACAGGTATATTATTCATTCAATATCAGGTTCCTTGAGTGGATTCCAGCAACCTCCTATTCAGCCAAAACAATGAGTTTCAACGGAGCTGCACCAGGTAAGCATTGTGTTGTAAGAAGTAATGTGGTCATTTGCTTGAAGCATTATGTGGTTAGCATGTTCAATGGATCTTAATTCTGCATTTTTTTCTTTCTTTCTTTCTTTCTCTTTATCTTTCTGCTACTTTGTCATAGTTTTGTATCCATTTCCCTTCTACATTTTATAATTTAATTGGACTTTTTATCCTCACAGCTTTCCCACCTCCATGCAGGGCTGCTATTAGGTGGCCAGGGCCCCAGGGCAAAGAACAGTGCCAGGCCCTCAGGGCCACATCCTTTTTAGGTGGGAAGCGCCTTTTTCAAATAGGAAACGTCCATTTTTCCCTTAAACTTGCCAATGTTAACAGCTGTGACATGGTTAGTAAGAATGCACCCAATAAATTTGCCAAGTTAGTTGTTCTTTGGCTCAAATAAGTGACTACTGTAAATTTTTGCAGGTCTCTTTCGGAGCCCAGGCCACGGGGTTGTTACCCTGGCTATCCAACCTCCCCCTGTTGGCGATCCTGCTTCCATGTATTGCATTTACTGTTCTTTCTTTTGTTTTTTATTTCTCACTTGTTTTTTTCCATGTTATAACTTGTTCTAACTTCAGACATTCATCTCTGTTCTTAGTTTTATCCTGTCATTTCTTTACTTAGTGTATAATATAACTCTTACTCTTCTCCCACCTCCTTCTCCATCTTCTCTTCTACCTCTACTTCCTCTACTACTCTCTTTCCTCCTCTTTCTTCATTTCCTTCTCTCTTTCTTCCTCCTCCTCCTCATCCTCCTCCTCCTCTCCCCCCTCCTCCTGCTTCTTTCCATTAGTCAGTTTCAACAGATTTATGTATTTCTGTATATTATCACTGTGAAAATAGGAATAATTTGCATACATAAGTTCTCTTATATATGGCTTCAGTGTTGTCAGAACACACTCTGCATCCCCCAAATTTCATAGAATCACTTCCCACTAAAAACTTTCTCTCCTTAGCATCCTTAGGTGTGAATAATGGGGGAGCCCTGGCCAGGGAGCAGAAGGCAGAGAATCCCAAGGTTGTTGACAGTGGCTCTGGGACGCTCTTTATCTATGACGATGCTATTGTGTTCTCACCGCCCCTTTACAGGCAGCGATATGAGATGGTAAAGAGCAAGATCAAAGAAGTTAGTAATGGGACCTTTATGAAGGTTAGTTGTGTGAAATTTGCTTAGATTATTATATTTGATACTGTTATTTTTGTATGATTATTATTACATTTTTATGATATATGATATAATAACGATGAGAAAAATCTCCCTGATACAGTGCCTATATTTTACTAGGTAATTTTTATCTGTGTTAGGTTGTGGACATGGGGAGTGCCGAGTTGGGTTTCTTTAAGTACCTTCGAGAGATTCCAGGTATCAGAGAGGTTGTGCTGGTTGATAAGGATGGCCAGAAAATGCAGGTAAGGAAGTGGTTTTAGAAATGCTATTTGTTAGATTTATGACTTACCTTTTGTATTCATAATATACATATTAATCCAATAGCAGTAGTCAGATTTTGAGATGAATAGATAATCAAACATTAAAAAAGGTAAATCAGTAGAAATTGCAGGTGATTTAGAGTAAATTTTACAGGAGATATGAAATAGAAAAGTAAATAACCAAAGTGAAGGATAGTAAGTTCAGGACTTGAGTGTAATGTCTTTTCCAGGATAATGAGTACAAAATCAAGCCTTTCACATCTGACCATTTAATGCTGCGTTCCAACCCACTGACTGTCCGCATGGTGTGTGGTGACGTAAGGTTTTGTGACCCAATATTGCTAGGAGCTGAAGTGGTGACCATGATTGAACTGTAAGTGCATAAGATTTCATAGTAAGTTATTGTAGTACATTGTGACTTCAACCCATTGACAGAGGATGGCCTAATGCATGCCATGCACCAAGGTGTCCAATAAGGGTAACCAATGCACTGGATTACAGAATACAGTATTTTTATTAATTTTATGTTAATATTAGTATTGTTAATAACATTATAATGATTATAATGGCAATAATGATGATATTGACATTAATAACATGAAAAAAAAAATCCAAAACGTAAAGGAAAAGGAAATCAGATGACCTACTAATAATTGACTCTTTGGAAGCTGAGTACTTGTGGAGGCATCATGTGTGGAAACAAAGCAGTAGTTGACAGTACATGTACCTATTACCAGTGGGTTGGAGAGGATTGATACAGAATACACCTGCTCTTTTAATTTACCATTACTAAAATCAGTGCATTAAAAGTGGTAAGAAGGCTTTATTTTGTTGAATGCAGGATAGAGCACATGCAAGAATGGGATCTGCCAGCTCTGGTGAACTGTGTGTTTCATAGGATGCGGCCAAAGCTGGTCATCATCACCACACCAAATGCAGATTTCAACAAACACATCCCTAAATTCATTCCTGGGACATTCCGACACTGGGACCACAAATTTGAATGGACGTCAAAGGAATTCCAAATGTGGTTTGTTGATACTTTGATTGTTTGTTTTGTATCCTTTTAGATTAGCTTTTGCTGATTTTTTTTTTATACTGCAAAAGATTAGGATTTTTAGAAATAACCAGAAATAAATGCTTACCTATATCAGATGTTTAAAAATGTCTTGATCTTATGTAGAATATGTCACTTTGATACTTAACCTTTGATTATATCTGCAGTGTTAAGGATTTTGTATTTATTAAGGAAGCGACATAAAAGATGGAGTTGGATTGTATCTTTAAAAGAAAAAAGTGATCTGCTATCTTAACATTTTTTCCTTTATGCAAACCTTTCAAAAACTTCCTGAAAACACATGGCAGTTATTCATAAATTGTTGTAGTAGGATTGTTCAATTAGAAATTATACATTATGCCAAATTGTGGCAATTGTATGACTAATAAATACATTTTTATGTACAGGTGCCAGAGTATCATACAGACAACTGGTAGCTACACTGTTGAATACTCAGGCTGTGGACTTGGGCCTGATGGAGATTACTGTTCCCAGGCAGCTTTCTTTTTCCGAATGACCACCGATGAGGAAGAGGCATTATCTTTCTCCATGAATAACTACTTAAGGCTTAACACTGAAGATATGAGTAAATTATCACCAAATACTAATTATAGTAATGGTGGTTACATCCTGTCACCAGGAATAACAGAACCAAGTGCATTTAAGATGCTTGCCAAATACATCTATCCCTACGACAGACGAACCCAGAGTGAGAAGGACAGAGACCATGCCATTGCTCAGTTTCATTCATTGTTACGATACTTGCGGGAGGGCGGTTCACCAGACTCATCATACATTGAATGTCAGGATGAAGCAAAGGAGCTCATTGGAGGAAGAAATCAGACTGCAAACTTAAATAGTGACTTTGAATTCAATAAAGAGGAACCAGTCTTCTTTCGAGTGAATCATGCAGAGAGAGAGGAGGACATAAGCCAGAAGGTGTTGGAAGAGAATGAACATGCATTTACAATTATAGCAAATAAATATGCAGTGATTTCCATGGTTGCCCTCTCAGCTTGGGTGAACCTAGGCCATGACCACACAATAGAGACATCAATTATAAGGTAAGAGTTAAATCCTCATATTCCAAACTCATATGAGTATACTCCTGGGTGAGTAAATCCAGCATGAAAGGGTGGTATGTGACTTTGGTGGGATAATTGTTTTTCAAAAATTCTTACTTTCAACACAGATTTGGGTCAAACTTTTCTTGCAGAATTTCTTTTAGTGCATTTGATATACTTAGAATAGACTTATCAGTATCTAAGTGTTCTTTTTAGGCTTGCTGTGGAAGAAGAGTGCTTTGAGGTAGAAGGTGAGGGAACAAGATGGCAAGGCAAAGTCCAGCTATTTGAAGATTCAGATTCCTCAAGTGCAGAAACCATAGAGAATCTTGAGCAGCAGGAAGAGGAAGTGGAAGTGGAAGATGAAGAGGACTGGGAAGGAGGAGACTGGTCGAGCCCTGAGGAATTGCCTTCGTTAGGGGAAGGGATAATGAACCCTTCGGAGAACTGGGACTGGGGCCCTCCCGATTCGGACTCAGGTTGGGAATCTTGATTTCAACAGGAGTAATATTTAATTTGAATATTTATTTGATGTTATTATTTTATATTCCACATACATGTAAACCATTGATTTTTTAGTTTGAATATGTGAAACTATTTTGTAGAATGGGAGCAAGTAGATATTGTTTGCCTTTAATGTTTAGAAGAATAACATTTCTGTAATTTATTATACAGCATTGGCTTAGTAGGCTTGTTTATCTAAGTATTAAAACAGTTTCAAGGGAAGAAACTGTTGTGAAAGAAAATACAAAAGTATGTATTAAAAAAAAATCAAAATATTTAGATGTCCTTATTAATGTTTGATTTAGAGGGTTTGTCGTAATATGCCTTTATAGGTGGTAGTTATTGAGTAGAATGAAAACCAGTATATTTGTATGATTCATTTTATGCTTTTGAATAACTTGAAGAATTAAGAGAAGCATTTGTAACAGCTTGTTCTTGGAGGTAGAAATGAGAAAGGTGCTATGTGGTGCTAAGACTGCTCTGCTCTGCAAAAGAGTAGAGAAATGAGTTTATGTGTGATTCCATTGTTGGTGATGAGCATTATTGCGAGGGTGAAGATAAGGTGATTTTGTTTATTATTTCTTCACAGTTGAATGTAGTTTGTTCAAAGATGGACAATATTTTTATTTGGTAATACTAGATTGTGCTTCATGTTGTTGCAATTGGCAAAAGAATGTTATGAGGCCAATTTATAGTTATTTATTAATTTCTTAAAAAAAAAGATTAGGTTTCTATGCATCAGATGGATGCAAATGTAGATGTAGGTAGAAACATTTATTTCAAAGATTGAAAGAAAGTCATAGAGTATGTTTTTGAAAGTGTTTGGAAAGCAACATTAATTGATGTCTTATTAATGTGCCAAATATATAATCAGTGTTCTTTAAAAGGGATAGACTTCATAAGTGTAGGATTGATATTAAAATACTTGTAAGCATTTGAGAAACTCCTAGAGGGCCAGCATGTTTTCTTTTGACATCATGCAAATGTAAAACATGTATTGAAAAAAAAGAATGCATTTATTGAATTTTATAATATTAAGCAGAATTTTAATGTATGTAATATGTCCCATCTTTTAAGACAAATTGCATAATTAACTTTTTTTCAAAATAGCTTATCAGTATGTTTGTATTATGGTAAACAATTACTGAATATTTATTTTTCAGTACTTATATATGTATATAAATCCTAGAGTTATATGACAGTACTATAATTTTTGTATAAAGTAATTCACCTGATTTTATTTTTTTTTTTTATTTTTTTTATTTTTTTGTAATACCTTTTCTTTTCAGGCTGTCTATACTTTTTTCTCTGTGATGTTGATTGTTATTTGAGAATATTTTTCATCACTTGCGTTCCTCCTAGGCTATGCTTATCAAAGAAGGTAAGCTTCCTGGACTTTGTCATTTATATGAATTCACTTTTTTTCATGAAATGTGTCTTATTTCATATTGTGACTGAAATTATGATATAGAACCAAAATATACAAGATTTGTGTGGGAAGATTTGGATTTTTTTTTATTATTTTCAGGTTTGTTTTTATTCACACAAAGAAGCCAAATCTCTTACAGTCTCAAGGTGAAGATTTAGTTGATAGATCATATTCCTGTATATTAATAATTGTGTTTTAGTTTATTCCAGATTTTTTATTTTATATTAACATAATTATTTTCAGTCATTTTTGACCACATGTACTTCTAAAATTACATAATATGGTGATCATGAGATCAGAAGACATAAATAATAGCTTGGCCAAAGTTCTAGTATTAAGGATCACAAGGAGATGAGTTGTCACTCATAAGCACATGGGTGCAAAAGAGTGTCACCATGCTTGTGTACATGTTTAGAGTAATCCTGCTTTAACGGTTCCTGTACTAAAATGTACATTAGGATTAGAGGAATTATGTGTTTTATCAGTGTAGCATTAGACATCCTCAGATATAGACCATCACATTATTTTTTGTGAATTCATGAGGTGTGTCCTTTTCATTTACTAGCCCTGGAAATATTTTTTATAATTTCATTGGACTTTGAAAAGTTACTGAAAGCAAGAACAACAGTGAAAGACCTTATTTCATAATCTCTGCCAATATTATTGGTTGTTTGTTGCACTCGTCATTTTATAGTAGGCTAAATGAGTCTGACAAGCTATTTCATTCAAGTGTTACTGAAAACCTTGGTTACCATAAAACTATGGATTCTTTCTATTAGAATCACAGGAGGGGTGCTTTGGTTAAATGTAAATTGATGGAAAGTCCAAATAATCCTTGATGGATGGGGAATTTCCTATAAAAAATAAAGACAGAGTAAAATGAAGTTATGTCATTTTCTTTAATTCTTCTTTTCTTATTCCTGAAGTGAAAAAGGAGGATGAAAGGAAATAGACAACTTGTGTCCCACATGAATACTTGATTGAAATATAAGGTGATTCTACATATTTATCATTTCATTTTTTTTTCTTTTCTTTTCTTTTTCTTTTTTTCTGTTAATCCTTGGAAGATATAGGTGCTATTTTAGTAAAGGATGTATTTCAGGTTTTTATCCCTTTTTCATATTCTGGTGCACCTTCCTACGTAAAACCAAGTTAAACTAGTAGCTAACCTTTGCCAAAGTAATAACTAGATGCTTGTACAAGTATCTATATATTTAGTTATGTAACTTCCAGAAGTAGTAGGTAATTCTCTCGGAGAAATCAAAGAAGTTGGTAGCTAATCTAGAAAAAAAAAAGTATCTAGCAAGGTAATAGATAGCATGAAAAAAGCAAGAATAAAAAAGCAAAGTAGCTGTTATTTTTGTAGTGTCTACTAAGTAAGGTACTAACTGCCGGCGTGAAACTGTTAGCTATGCCTACTCTTACCATAAAGATATTGGTTACTCTCACCAAACTGTGTCTTTCTCTTATTTAATTTACGTAAAATTGGTAAATGTCACTTCTTATTTCCATGTTATCACAGATGTGATTACTTTTTTCTCTCTAATTGGAGATAAGTGTAACAAATAAATTGATGTATCAGAGTACAGTATTTGAATATTGATTAATCTCGAGATTGTCAATAAATACATTCAAGTACGGGTTAGGTACTTCAGCTACAGTGTGTTATGATATCCAAGAATTTCATGATGTGTTTTCATTTACAAGACTTGACTGGATAGCCTTTCTGTTTATAAAATATTTAGCACATTGTACAATATGGATGTCTAAGATGTTTCCAGTCATTGCGACAGAGAGTGCAAAATGTACCTCAACTTCATGTTAGATTGGAAAGTTTCTTTGATATACTGTACACCATATAACCCCCAGTACTTATGTATGTTTACAGTGAAGCAGTTAAGGAGGTGTGTCATATGTCTAGCATCATTATTACATGGACATGTATAAATGTGATGATAATACATTTGTAAAAGTAAACACCTCTGTCAGATGCAGATGGCTAAGGTCTAAGGTGCTAGGCACAGTATGGCTTTTGATGATGTCTTCATTCAGAGAAGTAACTGTGAGAAAAAAAAATATATATATCAACAAACTATGAGATATTAAACAAATATAAATTGCATGTCACTGGCATTTTTTCATAAGCCATAGCAAAGCACCAGAGCCTCATCTTGATGCATGTAGTCGTCACCATGGCCTGTAGACTAAGTAGACTTGTCTTTGGTGCCAACTTTAGGTTCCTGCTAAATTAGGGATATTAAAGAGGTAATACATAGTGTGATATGTAATATTAATTTGACTAGTGCTTTATATGTGGTCTTGACATTGCAGTAATCCAGAACTTGCTGCTTGCAATTGAAATTTACCACTTACTGCTCAAAAGCTGAAAATTGAAGCAATAATCACAAAAGTTGGAACAAATTATATCAGGTGTGCCATGTGCAAACCAAAACACAAAACTTGAGACCAGTAGTTTTTTGATGATACAAATGTAAACCAGTGAGGTAAACTTCTGAAAGGGATCATATTCAAGAAAGGCTTTATAAGAAATAATCCAAACCATTTGTTAAAGCCATTTGTATCAAATCATAAGACCAGAATGACTTCATTAAGAATGGCATGTGATTGTAAAGAGATATGGTAAACTCTGAATCTGTGATGCAGTTGTTCATCTGTTCAGTGTCCAAAAGATTTTTTCAAGGATGTGATCTGGTGCTGTAATTAAATAAAAGTTCTAAAATTAAAACAGAAAATTGGATTGATTTAATATTTATTGTAAAACATCATGTAATAAAGTAACATAATTTGTGTGTGTTTTATTTAATCATTTGTACTCTTTCTGCTGCATGCTGTTCACATCAGATAAGAACTTGTTGATATGTTCTGGGTCTGTGAGGCAAATGTAGAAAGAGTATGGCTGAGAATTATTAATTCCACATTGCATGATATGTTATTCATGTTGCTGTTTGACATTTTCATTAGAAATGTGTAAAATACTCATGAATGTTTTATTAAATCATCAATTATTTATCATACATTGTGAAATCCTATTTGCTCTTTCGTGCCTTTGCATGATAGTTTACCCCACTTTTTTCTTCTTTTCTGCTTGTTTGATGAATGTATGCAAGAATAGATTCACAAAGTGGGAGGATTGCTCAATTTAAAAAATATATTGGATATGAGAAATATTTGTGTGTTCACAACAAAAACTATTAGATAGATTAACAGTGAATTATACTCTTACATAGTTATTATTTTTGTGTAATTTTCTCACCATTTACAGTCAGAAAACTTTGTGCTTTTATATGTGTGCTGTGCAATGCTTGATTGTTTGAATGGTGTATATGTATACACACAAAATATATGTATTTATAAATCTAAAATCCTGTCCAGCAGGTATATACTATAATAAGAATTATAACAATCCTCTTTGGGACATGAAACGAAAGGCTTGCATTATAAATGCTCAAAACAAGAGTTCATCTGCTGCAGATCCTTACTTCCTATTAATATAAATTCAGTAGCTAAACTATATATAGGCAATACATGCACTCAGTGAAAAATGTTTCCTTAATTACTGCACTAATTGTTGCAATGCAGCTCACATGTTTGTTTTTATAAACGACTTCAGTCTGACAAGTGGAGTTTTAAATGAACCCCATTCTCCATATAAGTAGTCACCATGGTTAACACAATGGTCTTTCGTTTTACTCTCATTACCATGTAATTTCTGAATATGTTGTCAAAACACTCTGAAGTTCCATGGATATTCCATTTAAGCGGAAAGAGCAATGCACTGTGATACTTATACCTGTATACCTTTATATCTAAGGCGCACATTAACTATAAATAATTATATATACCTTACTCTACACAAGGCAATAACTTTAACCTGTACGTTTTCTCACTCTTGCTACTTTTAGATTCCCTGATCAAATAAAAAATATTGGACAGGACGATTATATACACAACCAAATACCCAATGGAAAAAGCAACAGATGATTCTTATCACGTGGGCTGTGTATCCACCGGTGGGAGGAGACCCAGGAAGTGCAGAACCTCCATGGCATCCTGGATGGAGGCGATTGGTATTCTCTGGTCTGGAACGCGAGAAGGTACGTTAATTTCTCGCTGGAAATGGATGATTTTTGGGAAAAGTAAAAGGAATGTTTCTCTTGGATTGCGATGCATGTGTATAATACTTTTGATTTTAGTATTGTCTGATGATATCGGAAATGCTGACAAAATATCTAGTGGAAAATGTTCATCGTAACTAAATGAATACCAGATTCTCGAGAAGTAACAGATTTTTGGATGCATGGAAGGCGTAAGCATGAACCATCAAAAATTGATGCCTTTTCCCTTGCCCGTTGTTGTTGTGGGGGGCTTAGGAGACGGACTCTGAGACCCAATGCAGGGATCTCCCCTGCCTAGGGCCTCAGCCCTCAACTCAACTAATTTTGCATGGTCTTTTCCCCCCTCCTGCTTTCTGTTTCCATCCCGTACCTTTCACTAGCGATGGAGATCGACCAGTTGATGCCTTTTATATAATCCAGGTTCCTCATGACCAGTAATGAAAATGTAATCCCTTTATTAGAGGCAATGAGGCTAGCCCCTTTATCAAGTAGCCCCAACCCAGGCTCTTCTTTGACCACGGCTCCGAACACTGAAACTACTACCCACTCCTCAATGCCTACTAGTGCATTACCCACCCAAGCAGAAAATCAGTCTTCAGAAGACTTTCCTACCCACTCAACTTCCTCAAATTCATCAACTCTACCCCCGCAACTTTCATCAAGCAACCAATCCTCCCTTATTACTACCTTGCAACTTTATTCTCCCTCATTCCGTAATACTCTCTCTTCTACACGTCCCTGACCATCTACCACCACCAACCCTGCAGATATCTTAAATACCCTGTTTAGCCCAGCTAAATGGGACCGATTTTTCGTGATCCCTTCTATAGCTCCTTACTCAGGCAACACTCTTCTTTTTCAACAATGCCTCCAAAAACAAGTAGGTAGAGTCCCTTTTTATACCAGACGCGATCGCTCCCGTCTTGTAACAGTCAGATCAGAAACTGAATCTATAGCACTATCAAATTTAACTGATCATTCTGGCAACCCCATTCCTGCAGAACCACATCCAACCCTTAATACCTGTACCGGAACTGTCTCTCTCCCCAGCAAACTGCCCAGTCGATACCAAAGATTGGTCAGACTGTGGAGAAGACTTATTAGGATGCCTCAAAGACCAAGATGTGAAATCAGTACATTGCTACACCATTCCTTCTAAAGGTCAACGAAAGAATCCGACCAACATTGCCAAAAGTACCTTCCGTACACATGACCTTCCCTTACGTATCTACATTGGTAGACAATCCCTCCCTGTTCGACCATACCAACACCCTCCCCGTCAGTGTCAAAACTGTTGACGCTTTGGACATCCTGCCAAACATTGCCGTTCCACAGACCGATGCCCCATATTTGCCCAACCTGGTCATAATCGATCAAACTGCTCAGCACAAACACGATGTGCTAACTGCGGCGGCCCCCATAATGTATTTTAGAGAGGCTGTCCCACTTTAAAATTTCGAATCTGAGGTAGCAACTCTCAGATACAAAAATGGTCTCACTTTACGTGAAGACAGACAGGAAGCACGTCGACAAGGTTTCTCTCATACTCCATACTCTAGTAACATCGTTCGCTCAGCCCCTCCCCCTCCACCCTAAAATGACCCCATTTCCATTTCTACATTCTACATCCCTCAGACCAATTCCTTTGCCACTAAAACCCAGACACCCCAATCTCAACCACAGCTCCTATCTTAACTACAGCCCCAACACCAACCCCTCTCCTTCCCCGCACTACCCGCAGTAGACAGACTAAACGTTCTAACCCTTCTTTCCCTACAGCACAATCATCTCCACCTACCTATACCTTTGTTCCTGAGACACCAGTCTCCTCTTCCCCCCCTCATAAGAAAACCTTTATCCCACAAAACTCTCCAATTCCATTGCAGAAACAATTACCTTCTCACAAAACTCCCTAACCAACTCCACTGCAGAAACAATGGATGACATTCAAAGCTATATGCTTGAGACACAAGATCCCATAACTCATGCTCCTTCCACACTTGAAGTGGTTGCCGATATTCATACCCCTCCTACTAATATTCCCCCTACACCCATCCTCCTACTCCTCTCAACAACAACATAACCCCCTCAATCCCGTCCACCACTGATATCCATCCTCCCAATACCCATCCTCCTGATATACATCCCCCTCTTACTCACAGCACCCCTACACCCCTTCCTCCCAATCCCTCCCAAGACAACACATCCCCTTCAACTCCAACTATCCATCCTTCCGATATTCATCCTCCTAACACTAATACTCCCCCCACATCTACTCCCTCCCAACACAACCCACCCCCTTCAACCCCAACTATAGGCACATTCTCCCTCCCTCCATCCCCTCTATCCTTTGCACTCCCTCCTGGATACACACGAAAATCACTCATGGCACAACAATGCCCATCTCCAGACTCCCCACCTCCTAATATCCCTCCTTTACACCCCCTAGCTCCTTCCCCTTCAAATTCCCCAACACGTACTTGCATTATCATTCGTAAATCAACTAAGAAATAGCTCTCCTACACTGGAATATTCGCGGTTTCTGCTCTCATAGATCAGACCTACGTCATATCCTTGCTTCTTATAATCCATCTATTATCTGCCTCCAAGAGACTTTCCTCACACACCCTCCTATTCCAATTCCCAATTACCATTTTATCTCTTCCCCACACTCCTTTTATGTCTCGTCTATACTTATCCATTATAAAACACCTTATGGCATACCTCCCATACAAACTTCTGTCCCGTGCACAGCTATTCGCATCTTTCTTCGCCGCTGGATCACAGTGATTTCAGTCTACTTCTCCCCATCCCATCCCATTGACTTTACTGCCTTTGAAACTCTAATTTCACAACTCCAACCACCTTTCCTCGTAGTTGGTGATTTCAACTGCCGCCACACTCTGTGGGGTGACTCTACCACCAACTCCCGAGGCTGATCTCTAGAACGCTTCCTCTTCACAAATAACCTAACTATTCTTAATTCAGATCGCCCCACACACTTTGACATGCGCACACAATCCTTTTCATGCCTTGACCTCTCTCTATGCTCTCCTACTTTACATTTAGATTTCCATTGGTCAGTTCTAGACCACTTCCCCTATAGTGGCCACTTCCCAATACTCCTTTCTCCTACTTCATATGTACCACTTCCTAATCCTCCACGCTGGTGCTTTGATAGAGCTGACTGGCATACTTTCACTTCACTCTCTACTATATCTATCCCTCCACCCCCCTTAACGTCCATTTCAGATATGCTACATTGTTTTACAACCACGATCCTAAGAGCTGCCTATACAACCATTCCTCGAACTTCAAGACCTTATACCTCTAAATGTGTTCCATGGTGGAATTCTGATCAAAGCGCTTCGCTTAAAACGAGCAGCCTGGAACAGCTATCGCTACAAACGAGGCACCCCTCACCAGCTATCAGCCCTTATTTCCTTTAAAAGAGCATCTGCCCATCTCCGCCGTACAATTAAAAACAGCAAAACAAATAGCTGGCAAAAATATGTTTCCTCAGTTACATCTACATCTATTTCAGCTGTCTGGCGATGGATCCATAAATTATCAGGCAAACATCCCCCCCCCCCCCCATCCTGCACCCGTCCTCCATATTCGAGATATTCTCATCTCTGAGCCTGTCGTAGTAGTTAATGAACTAGGCAACTATTTCAGCCAGGTCAGTAGTGGCTCTCATCTTTCCCCACACTTTTCTTCCATTAAAGCCGTCAAGGAACACACCCGTATTACCTTCACCCTATCCTCTGATGAGGCCTATAATGCTCCTTTTTCTTATTCTGAACTCAACGCTGCATTACAGTCGTGCCGCAACACTCATGAAGGCCCTGATGGTATTCACTATCGTATGCTCCGACACCTCCATCTTCCTCTCTATCCTTCCTTTTAACTATTTTCAACCACATATGGACATCAGGAAATTTTCCTTATCATTGGCGAGATGCTCTTATCCTACCTTTCTTAAAACCCAATAAATCAGGTACCCTACCCCAAGATTACCGCCCCATAGCTCTAACTAGCTGCTTGTGCAAACTACTAGAACGAATGGTTAACTTCCGTTTAATGCGGTACCTTGAATCTCAAAATCTCCTTTTTCCTTCCCAGTTTGGTTTCCAACGTGCCTGAAGTACAGCAGACCCACTTGCCCATTTCGAGACATACATTACATCAGCATTTGCACGCCATGAATCCGTATTAGCCATTTTCTTTGATCTAGAAAAAGCATATGATACCACATGGCGATACCATATCCTCCAACAATTGTCCTCCTAGGTTTACGTGGAAAAATGGGCGTTTTCATTAAATCCTTCCTTTCTAAACGTACTTTCCAGGTCAAAATTGCCTCTTCTACGTCATCATCCTTTCCTCAATTCGAAGGCGTCCCACAAGGAAGTGTGCTTAGTACCACTTTATTCCTTCTTGCTGTAAATGACATAGTCTCAGTCCTACCACCAGGAGCCCGAGCATCACTATATGTTGATGACTTAACCATCTATGCATCTGGCACATCTATATCAGATCTCTGTCAATTCCTAAGTCTGCAATAACATCAGTAACTTCTTGGGCCACCAACCATGGCTTTCGCTTCTCTACCTCCAAATCTTTCCCCATCCTTTTCTCTCGCTCACGTACGGTCCCCAAACCCCCACTCTTCTTATATAACACTCCACTCCAATACCGTTCTTCTGGCAAATTCCTAGGCGTTATATTTGATTCCAAATTGTCCTGGCGAGACCATATCTTGTACATCAAAGAAAAAGCTCAACGTCGCCTCCGAATCTTACAAACTCTTTCACATATCTCCTGGGGCTCAGATCGCAAAACTCTCCTCCATCTTCATGTTACCTTGATTCTCTCCACTCTAGATTATGGATGCCATATCTACTCCTCTGCCTCAACCTCTCTTCTTGCTCACCTTGATACAATCTACCACAGCGGTCTCCGCTTAGTCCTAGGCGTCTTCCGCTCCTCTCCAGTTGAGAGCCTACATACTGAATCAGGCATGCCGTCCCTCTCTCGACGTCGAGCCCTTTTCTCTCTCCGATGCTATGCTCGATTTCACCAATTTTCCCTTACCAAACTAACTATTCCACAATCCTTGCTTCATACCTTTACCTCTTCTCCACGTTTACCAACTCCTCTCCCCGTACGCATGGATACCCATTCCCTCTTCCCTCATCTCCGACCTCTCCCACTGTCCATTCCATTCCTCCATGGCTTATACCTAACCCCTGTATTTGCTCCTCAGTTTTCCCTGACCCACCAAAATCAGATATTCCCCCCTCTATCCTTCTCACTCATTTCCTTGACCATGTCTCCATTCATTCCTCCAGCATTCATGTTTACATTGACGGTTCCAAATCCATCTCAGGAGCTGGATTCGCAGTAACATTCCCAAATTGCACTTTCAAATACACCCTCCCTCCTGAATCTGGTGTCCTTACTACAGAACTATATGCACTCCTTTTTGCCTTAAGACGCATATACTCATCCACCTCTTCCTCTTTTACTATTTTTACTGACTCCCGTAACTCTTTAACCCTCATAAAGTCTATGCACTCGACCAATCCCCTTGTCTGTAAGATCCAGAACTGGTTGTTCCATCTATCCACACGTCACAAATCTGTCAGATTTTTCTGGGTACCCAGCCGTGTTGGAATCCCTGGCAATGAACAGGCAGATACTCTTGCACGCTATGCCGCAATGTCCACATCACCTCAACTACGCTTCTCACATATTCCAGCTACGGATTATTACCCCCACTTTAAAACCTTCTTGTATACCCGATGGTAATCTTTTTGCTCAAGACTCTACTACAATAAATTACATACCGTAAAACCATCAATCTCCTCTTGGTCAGCTCCATTTCACAAAAACAGACGTTGGGAGACGGCCCTCGCACGATTACGTATTGGCCACACTCGCCTGACACACGCATATCTAATGTCACGCTCAGACTCGCCCTTATGTCCTCTATGTAACGTCCCTCTTTCAGACCCACACATTCTCTTGTCCTGTCCACGCTTTAATACAGCACGTACCTCTGCATTTCCACACCTATCCTCCCTTCACCGACCTCCCAACATATGACATCCTTACAGAATCCCACAGCTTCTGCCTCGACAACCTGTTTTCCTTCCTTAGACGTATAAATATCCTTCACTTGATCTAACTCCCTTACCTAAACCACCATAATCTTTTCCCTCATCTTCAACCTTTCAACACTACTCAAGATAGTTGACACACAGCAGCTATCACCTGACATCCCCCTTTACTATGTGACCTTAGATGTCTAGCACATTTATCTTAACCATTAACCATTAACCATTTGCAGTTTTACTTGGTTGCTCGCCTGTTTTCATTGTCTCATCCAAACAATAATAAAAAATAAGTTGTCTTTCATCCAAACTTACCCAAGTCCTGCCTGAGTGTGCCGCCCATGAGAGCGAAGAGCGTGGGCACAGACAGCCTTCCGCGAGGACCGCATCTTCCTTTAGCAAGGTCGGCGATGGTCCAGACCAACGATTGCGTGACCTTAGTAACGAGACCCAGGTCGCTGAAGCCTGTCTCTGCGTCATCACACGCAAGATGGTAACACTGCCTCATGCGTCCGCGATAAGGACCTGAAGGAAAAAGGGAAAATATGGGAATGACGTTCTTTCAGCATCGTCATGAAAAGTTCTTTATTGATCCTGAACATTAGGGCATGATTCATTTGGATTTATAAAGAGTAAAAAACGAGACCACAAGTTGTTCTGGCATGAAATACTATTAAATAACCAAGCATTTGAGTGTCTCACCCATGTCGGTAATAAGCACTGCGGGCATCGTGGGCGAGTTGTCAGTGTCGTTCAGGTACCAGAAGCGGATGTGGTCGGAACGAATGAAGTCGAAGTGGTTTTTGAGGATCGTCGCATTGGGCATCTCGGCGCCCAGCTCCTGCAGGCCCATCAGCTCCAGGCGGTACTGGTCGTGGCCGAGGTCGTTGTAATAATGTGACAACCTTCCATGATGCAAAATGCGGATAAGTTCAGTTAGGTCAGAGGGAAATGGACCCCCAAACAAATGCTTAGATATACAAAGGAATAGTTATATGAGGAGAACTTGTTTGACAAAGGGAGGTCGCCGAAACTCGCCATGGACACAGAAGAGTAAGTCAGTACAAAAAAAAATCATTCATCATTCACAACAGGTAATAAAAAAACAAGAGTGATGACTCACGTATAAGCCAACCGACCATCGACCTGGGATCGGTAAAGGACTCCGGCGAAATCCCCCGTGTGGTTGTGGCGCTCGATGCTCCGCGCGTTGTCGGGGAGGTAGGCAGCCCACGTCGGCGGGAAATCCTGCGGGGAACGCAGCGGCACGATATACCATTTTAAAGGGGTAGAGATATTTAAGGCAGGATTTCAGACAGAGCAGACAGTCTTTGAAAAAATAATACATGTGTTACAGTGAATTTGATTATAAAAAAGGCGATCCTAACTTACAAAACAAACAAACAAACTCGGAGACGCGTTTTATTTCAGGAGAAGGCTATTCTAGATAAAGCTAACTAATAGATGCTCTTCTCATGCCTCACTTGACTGCCTGGCGTTGGATCCCAGTTGGCGATACAATCCACAACGAAAGCGCCCGTGATTTCCGTGATCCCGAATTTGTCCATGATGCTCCTGGTGAGGTAATCCTTCACGAACATCGTAGAGCCCTGGGTGCCTTGTGTAAAATAGAGAAAACGATGTTGTTCAAGATTCTGGAGACTTCACTCGCAAGAAAAATAAAAGATTCAGAACAGCCGTCTTAAATAAAAAAGTTCATATGATGGTGTTAATTAAAAGACATGTTCACATATTCATATAGTAAAGTGTTAGTTAAAGGACATGTTCAGAGAAAGACTTTGTTCCGGTTACCGAGCTCCTCCAGATCGAAGGCGACGAAGAAGATGGAGTGCCTGAAGGAGCAGCCGCTGGTGGCGAGGACGCGGGCCGCCTCCACGAGGGCCGCCAGACCGGACCCGTTGTCGTCGAAGCCAGGCGTCCCGGGCACCGTGTCCATGTGCGCCCCGAGGATGACCGGTTTGTCGTCCGCTGTGCCCCAGACTTCGCCCGCCAAGATGCCGATGATGTTCACGCCTTGCAGCGGCTGGTCAAACTGGGAGGGAGTTGCAGGTTTTCGTGAGAGTAAACCTTATTTTTTTCTTTCTACTATCTCTGTCTCTGTCTCTCTCTCTCTCTCTTTCTCCCCCCCCTCTCTCTCTCTCTCTCCTCTCTCTCCTCCTCTCTCTCTCTCTCTCTCTCTCTCTCTCTCTCTCCCTCTCTCTCTCTCTCTCTCTCTCTCTCTCTCTCTCTCTCTCTCTCTCTCTCTCTCTCTCTCTCTCTCTCTCTCTCTCTCTCTCTCTCTCTCTCTCTCTCTCCCCCTCCCCCCTCTCTCTCTCTCTCCCACCTCTCTCTTTCTCTCCCCCACCTCTCTCTCTCTCTCCCCACTCTCTCTCTCTCTCTCCCCCACCTCTCTCTCTCTCTCCCCCCCACCTCTCTCTCTCTCTCCCCCCACCTCTCTCTCTCTTTCCCCACCTCTCTCTCTCTCTCCTCCTTCTCCTTCTCTCTCTCTCCCCTATCCCTCCCTCTCCTCTCTCTCTTCTCTCTCTCTCTCTCTCTGTATCTCTCTCCTTCCCCCTGTCCCTTTCCCTTCCCCCCTCTCTCTCCTTCTCCCTCTCCCTCTCCCCCCCTCCTTCTCTCTCTCCCTCCCTCTCCTACTTACCCAAAATATATACTCAGCCGCGGAGAAGACGTGATCCACGACCATGAGGCCGAGGGAATCGAATTTCTGCGTGATGTAGAGGACGACCGAAAACTTGTCCAGCGGATCAGTCTCTGTTGGGAGGGAGTGGGAGGAGGGTTTTATTTTTTTTCTGCGGTTAAGTGTAGTTTATTGGGTTGCTTTGATTACTCGCTGTGGGAATATGCTATTGTTATTGTTATTGCTAATATCATCATCGTCACCATTATCTTTATCATTGTCATAATCAATATTATCGGTATTACCATCATAAACTTTACTGTTATTATTACTACTATTATTATTGGGAATATGTCTTATTACTATTATTGTTATTGTTATCATCATCATCATCGTCGCCATCCTCATCATCATCCTCATTATCCTATCTTCATCCTCATCATTATAACGACAATTCCTAAGTTGCTCATCACTTCACGATAACCAATCAGCCGTTTTTTTTTTAACTTGTAGGATATGAACCACACATTACACTCACTTCAGAGAAAACATAGAAAAATCCTCCCTCACAAAAAGAAAGAAAGAAAAAAAACGCCACGTCACGAGATTATCCTCACCGTGGTTCCTCCCGACGGTGAAAACAGTCTCCATCATGTGGCGCAGGTGTTCGGGAGCCACCTGCAGGGGGGAGGAGGGGCTGTGGAAGGCCCTCCCCGTTTCCGCTACGGCCTCGCCCTCCGTCATCGCCTCCAGGTTCTGCTCCACTTCCTCGGGCACTTCCTCCAGCTCCAGGGGGTCCACCTTGGGTATCGGAAAAGTGGAGGTCAAAGGGGAGGCGAGGGAAAGGGGAAGAGAGAGGGAAAGGGGAAGGAGAAAGGGAAGGGAAGAAGGAAAGGAAAAGGAAGAGAGAGGAAAGGGAAAGGGGAAGAGAGAGGGGAAAGGGGAATGCGAAGGGAAAGGGGAAGGGGAAGAGAGAAGAGAAGGCGAAGGGAAAGGGGAAGCGAGAGGGAAAGGGAATGGGAGGAGAGGGAGAAAGATAGGGATGGGAATACGGAAAGAGAAAGGCTTAGGGATAGGGTTTAGAAGAGGTATTTGGAAAGGGAGAGAAAAATAACAAAATTGAAAACGGAATAACTTGCACTTATAGATAGCTTATTCCTTTTGTGGCCGCGTTTAATTTTATAAGGGTTTTAACTAAGCTATAGAAACGGAGACCTTCCTTCTGCTGTAGACCTACCTATCAATCCGTTTCTTTCTTTTCTCTCTCTCTCTCTCAATCGCCCTCTCTTCTCGCCTTTTCTTTCTCTCTCTCTCGCCCTCTCTTTCTCTCTCTCTCTCGCCTTTGTTTCTCTCTCTCTCTCTCGCCCTCTTCTCTCTCTCTCTCTCGCCCTCTTTCTCTCTCTCTCTCTCTCTCGCCTTCTTTCTCTCTCGCTTTTTTTTCTCTCTCTCTCGCCCTCTTTCTCTCTCGCTTTTTTCTCTCTCTCGCCCTCTCTCTCTCTCTCTCTCTCCCTGACTAAATAATTTTCAAGCACATCATTTTCATATCACTTTTAGGTTTTCAGCCATATCCCTCTCCCCTTTTCTCTCTCTCCCTTCTTAGGATCACTCCTTCTTCCCCATCTTCCCTTAGGATCACTCCTTCCCCCCTTCCCTTAGGATCCCTCCCTCTCCCCTTAGGATCCTTCTCTCTCGCTACCCATTTCACCTTAGGATCCCTCTCTCTCGTTACCCATTTTACCTTAGGATCACTCCTTCCCCATCTTCCCGTAGAAACCCTCTCCCTCCCCATTTTACCTTAGGATCACTCCTTCATCCCCATCTTCCCTTAGGATCCCTCTCCCTCCCCATTTTACCTTAGGATCACTCCTTCTTCCCCATCTTCCTTTAGGATCCCTCTCCCTCCCCATTTTACCTTAGGATCCTTCTCTCTCGCTACCCATTTTACCTTAGGATCACTCCTTCTTCCCCATCTTCCCATCTCCCTCCCCATTTTGCCTTAGGATCCTTCTCTCTCGCTACCCATTTTACCTTAGGATCACTCCTTCTTCCCCATCTTCCCTTTGGATCCCTCTCCCTCCCCATTTTACCTTAGGATCCGGGGTGGGATCGGTCGACCAGCGAGTCCTCAGCGCATACATGACCTGAAGGGACTGCTCGAAGTCGGTGTCTGACGGTGCGATGGTGAAGGTCTCCGTGTAGTTCCCGCTGAACACGTGTTTCATCAACTCGAACTGTTCCTCGTCCAGCGAAGACAGTTTGGCTCTCAGTTCGCCCTCGTTGATGGAGGGGAAGATCTGCTGGTCCTGGGGGAAGAGCGAGGGGTGGTACACACTCATGTTGGTTGCGTTTCGAGGGGGATTTTGAATTTGAATTTGGCGGGTTTCGGTGCAGGGGCGGTTATTTTTGAAAGCTTTTCGTTTATATTCAAATTCAGATTGATTGCACACTCAAAGGTTTATGATAATGTTACGTGTAATAATCTTGCAACAAAGTAATAGATAAATGAATAAATAACCAGTATATATTGTACAAGGAAAACAAGCGATGGCAACAAATTAGGTAAGGTTGTTAGATCAATCATTAATAACCTAATCCATATCTACCCAAAATTAAATGGTTCACAGCAGCAGCTTCACATTAATCGAACAAGCGTGTAAGTATACCAAACCCGACATTCATCTATCCTTAGGTCGGTTGCTCCCTCACCCTCGCCCTCACCTGCTTGTCCGTGAACACGTTGAACATAGAGACCTCTGCTCCTTCAGGCAAGCCCGCTCGTAGCTTCGAAGTGTCCACTAAGTGAGACATTCCCTGCGAACAGACGAGTTTAAACAGCGACGTTACTCATCAGTAAAACACATGAAAAATCATGTAGATAAGTTTATATTAATCTTTCTGCCTGTCTGTCTATCTATCTGTTTGTCTGTCAACCTGCCTATCTAACCTCTCTCTCTGTGTACACACCTATCGATCTATCTACTTACCCATCTATCTATCAGTTTATCTATCTATCTATCTATCTATCTATCTATCTATCTATCAGTTTATCTATCTATTTATCTATCAGTTTATCTAGCTATCTACCTATCAGTCCATCTATCTATCTATCAGTTTATCTATCTGTCTATCAGTTTATCTATCTATTTATCAGTTCATCTATCTATCTGTCAAACAATTTATCTATCTATCTATCTGTCTATCAGTTTAACTATCTACCAAAAACAAAACGAAACAGAGAAAAAAAACACGAAATCTTCAAAGCAAAACGAAGCAGAAAGAAAAAACACGAAATTTACAAAACAAAGCGAAACAAAGAGAAAAAAAACACGAAATCCACAAAACGAAACTAAACGGAGAAAAACACGCGACCCACACCTTCAGGGCATTCCGATTCATCTTGAGGCGGAAGGTGGAGGTGGAGGGCACGGCGAGAAAGGCTTTGATGGTGAACTCCTCCAGGGCTCTCACGTGCTCTGGCGCCGTCACGTTGGACAAGTCCAGCGTCACTCGCGCCAGGAGAACTCCCAGCATCGTGAGCAGCTCGGTCAGAACTGAAGGGGGAGAAGGAGGGAAAAAGGAAAGTGAGTGGATGGAGCTATCTGTTTGTTTATGTTTTTTTTGTTGTTGTGGAAAGACAAAAGCTCTGTCAAAATTGAGGGAAAGGAGAAAGTCGACGGAGATATTTTTCTGGGGAAACAGAAAAAAAGAAAATAGACGGTGATATCTTTTTGGTTAAGGAAAGGCATCAGCTTTCTCAAAACTGAAGAAAAAAGGAAAGTCAACGAAGCTTTCTTGTTCAGGAAGGACAGCAGCTCTGTCAAAATTGAGGGAAAGAAGGAAAGTCGACGGAGATAATTTTCTGGGAAAAAAAGCTTTTT